CCAGGCCCGGGAGGCCGCGTTCCCTCGCCCCCCCGGAGGAAAAGGCAGGGCCCTCCCGCCGCCTCCCACACGGCCAGAACCGGAGTCCTTGGCCATAAGCGGCACCCACCATGTTCTACCCTGCCTCTTGCACCGCTGAGATCGTGAAATAGCCCTGCGGAGCGGCCGCCTTGCGTCACCGAGAAAGAAGGTGGCATCGCTGCAGCAAGGAACCCCCCGGGCCTCACACGACTGCTGTCCTGTCCCCAGTGCTCCCACAGTGGTTTCAGTGATCTGGCAGGGCGCTTCCACCCAACAGGACAACGTTGGAGGGCGTGAGGTGACGCGTGGGGAAGCCTCGACCAAAAATGCGTAACCACCTCCTGCCTTAAGCGTGAGAAGAGGCCGAGGGAGGCTGTGGTGGCTTGAACAGAACCGTCACACAGAGCTAACTACGTGTCTTTGGTAACACGCTTCCTCAGAAAAACACCCCTGAACTTAAGGGACTCTCAGGAACATGAGAAGATGCAGAGGACAGCCCAGAACTGCCTGAAGAATGTTGGTGAGAGCAATTGTGATAGGAATAGCTCATGGATTTAAACTCTCTTTAATACTGTGAATTGCTTATTATTTTCCAGGAGAAGTCTGCGAGAAGGCAGGGCAGCTACAGAAGTAGTTGGAGACACACAACAGGCAGGCTGCAAACACGGCTGGAGAGATCAGCCTGCAATCCCTGAGAGCAGCCTGGGACACCGCTTCTGCTGCCAGCCTGGTGGCTCACACCTAACCCACAGACCTGCTCAGTGCCATGTGTGAAGTAAGCACAGTTGTTCCAGGGGAAATACAGATTGGATTTCATCCTTCGCAAAAGCATAAAGGAAGCGATGGATCCTGTAGGTTAACACGAAAGCATGGCAATAGGGCCAGCAGATGTGTTAGTCTGGGGACAGAACAGCAGCTTACAGCACAAAACTCTGTATACATATGTATGTATGTATAAAGTCAAGAGAAAAGATCTCTAGCTTGCCCTGCAGAGCAAACCTCCATCACCAGGAGAGAAATTGTACTCTAAGTGGCATACTCCAAAGCGTTTATACTAAACTGCTTATATTCTCTCAGTTCTAAGATCTCATGCTTAAAAAACCCCAGGCTCTTCTACATAGTCAGGAGGAAAAAAACAACCCCAAACATTAAATTGCCACATGCTACTTTTTGTGCTTTACAAAATCAGAAATAAAATCAAGGGAAGCTCAAGAGATGGATATAGCAAGTCTCAGGCACAGAAGGCATTCCTGCAATATCACAGTTATGCCCTTGCAGTGATCTAATATTCTCCATTAGAGAGCAGGAAATCAAGACAGATCACTGCATTTAGGGGAGGAAAGGTAGGTCAAACACTTCTCCACACACAAAAGTAGCAGTAAGGCATGGTCATGTCATGCAAGGGCTGTTAAAAATCTTTCAAAATCAAGACTAGCATTCAGCTCTTAGCATCACATAACTAAAACTCTCAAGAAAAGGTCACAGTCATATTTAGCTTCAAAGATGGTTATTGCTACATGAACATCGGGTTTAAAAAAAGAAAAAAAAAAAACAACCCTACAACAAAAAAAAAGCAATGCTATCTGCCAGCAAGGCATTCTGACTGGGGAGTACTTTAAGTACAAAACCAGAAAAACATTTCAAAACAACATTCATAGTTTTACAGTATCTATTTTAAGTCTTGCATGTAGTTTGTTAAGAACAAAAAAAAAAAAAAAAAACAATAACAGCACTGCATACAGTGCTTCCATGACAACAGCCTATACATTTACCTCACAAAATTATAAGCAAGCCACACCTGCTTCTTCCTGTATGAAAAGAGGGGTAACTTGTTAAAATAAAGTCACTAGGTAGCAATGCAATTTTCAAACAAGAGTTAGCAGTACACCAAACCATCATTTAAAATAGGGGCAGTGATCTCAAGCTACGATTTTTAAGATGCAGCTCGGGATTTTCTCCTCTAGTACTTCCTCAGTGCAAATACTATGCATGAAAGGAAAGAGGCATCCCTTAAAATAAATCCAGTTATTTTGGAGACCGACCTCTTGGTTTGCCTTTTCAAGATCAGCCACGTAGGTGATCAGCAACAGGTGAAGACTCCTGGCTATCCTCTCCTCCTCCACAGCAAGGAATTCCGGGGAAACACTAAGGGGCCACAGCAGCATCTTTTAAGTATGCTTTTTCTTTACTGTTTCTTTTTAGCAATCTGCAGTGCAAGGTGAGATGAAGGCCACCATCTTCTGATGACGTTCCTTCAACAGTGCGGGTTTTTAGCACAGGAGGAGAGAACCATTTAAGGACTTTGAATTCAACCCTAACAAGACACTGAACAGAGAGACATCCAAGCTGTTTAAAAATATACCTGCAGCATATTCCACAACACTTAGTGGTAAGAGATTATCCTCCTAGATCTACAGACAGGAAGATAAGCATTTCCATTTTGATGAGGCGCAAGAGCTGGAGCAAATCTTACTCACAGCCTCAGACTGTGGGGCTGATTGCAGGCGCTGGGAGTCCAGCCATCCCGTTACCGCTCCGCTGGCTCCTCTGCCCGTCCTGCTCCCAGGCAAACCACAGGGCCAACCTCCAGCTCCGTACCCTGCTGCTAGGCTAGGCTGTGGCTGCTAGGCTAGGCTGTGGCTCGCTCCTTCACTGGCACAAGCCTTACCTGTTCAGAGGCTTTTCCTTCTGGGACTCGAATTACATCCTCGTTTCTACCTCTGTTCTTTTCTCTCTCTCATCCTACACCATATGTAATTCCCTTATATAAATCTGCTGATTTAATTCACTAATCCAGAGAATAAATAAACCTAACTAAAAATGGGTAGTTGTTTTTTTTTTCCCCGGGTTAGCAAATTTAAGTGGTTGATGTGAGAATGCCGCGAGCACCCCTGTAAATGCAAGGGAGGCAACAAAACCAAGCTGGGAGGAGGCAAGCTGGCTGTGACTCGCCCTTCAGGTAGCCGTGAGCCAACGGACCAGTTCAGCTGTGTGCGAAACTGCAGGCTGCTTTGGGACAGAGCACACAGAACACTAAAAATAAGCTGGACACTTTATATCCATCTCGAATGTAAAGAATCTTTCCAAAAGTCTTAAGGAGCTTTACCCTTGCTAGCATCAGACTCGAGCACGTTTGCAAACTGAAGCATGTTTCCACACTATGCCCTCCTCCCTCCCTCCAATTTAAGTCACCACAACACATTAGCCAAGTACCAAGCCAACAGTAAGCGCCTTAAATTACCAAGTTACTCTGCAGGCTGCTGTAATTACATTGGCCATATCTATTTGTTTGTTGTTGTTACAACAAACTGCCCCCGCCCTGCTCCGTGTCCTGCTACAATATCAAGACACCTTTGGTCCACTCAGAGGTGAATCATTTTACAGGTTCCCAAATGAGACAACACCACAGAATGCACGTTTAAAAATACCATTTATAAAAGCAGAAATTTATTGTAAATTAAAAAAAACAAACAAACTGAGAGTTAAGTTTCTTGATAAAAATTATTCACACAGCGTTCATGTTGTGATTTTTTTATTTTATTTTTGAAATGAAACCATTGTACATTGTACAAACCATAACTACCGATGGAATAAATAAGTGAAAAAATTATACTGCTGTACAACACACACACACACAAATCATAAGATGGAAAACGATTAGGTATTGAAGAAAACAAAATTCTTTACACCTTCTAACAGGCCCTTAGATATAAAGAACATTCCAAAACATGACAGTGTTTATGTATGAAGATAGCCACCCAAAACCAATATTTTATACTGCCTTGTTGATTATTTTTTGTTGTTTTGTAAGTGCCAGCACTTTTTGGAATGTTTAACAACTACTTTCCCAAGCATAAAAATTCCAAGGAATAGTTCTGCTATAAAATGTTTGGCTGAGTAAATCGTTTATTCGGAAGGCCTTCCCACATGTTCCACAAACTCAGCTAATTTACTTGCTTGCTTCTAGGTTTTTTTCTTTTTTTTTTTTCTCTTTTCTTTTTTTTTTTTTTTTTTGGTTTTTATTTATTTGTAACTGAAGCTCCAACATTCAGCATTGTAGCACGGAAGCACTTCTTGATATTTGCACTATTTCTAAAACATTAGCTGTATGAGAACTTTCAGTCATCTTGAAGAAAATTACATCTCTCCTTCTGCTCCACGTCTGAATGCTTTCAATAAACCCTTTTACAGTGAGTTCATAAAACAAGTTTCTGGTAGAGATAGGTCCAAGCCAAAAAAAAGCTGGATTTAGATCTGCTTTCAAACCTCAGGTCGATTTGAATTCGATGTTCTGGTTTGGTCCCATCTGTACTTTCTGGCATTAAAATGTGTTTAATCACATCCGTTGGCCCATAAATGTTATCAGGCACTTCAAAAAAAGACTAATAACAGTCTTATACACTATTTTGGATTTCTTCATACCAGATAATGTCAAAGTCTCTTCCCTTAGAGACTGACAATAACAGGTCTAAGGAACCCAAATCTATCTGCTTGTTCAGTTGTCTGTTGTCACTAGAATCTCTGGTTTTAAAAAAAAAGTTCTGAATGTATTCTGTATAAGCTGTAAATAAAGCATTACTACTTTCGAAATAAAGCCTCTAGGAATACGGTTATGATGCCTTGTCTTGTAAGCCACAGAACAATGAACAGTTCTGAGCAGAAGCCACAGGAGAGAAAAGGAAGTTTATAATTAAACCTGTTGATGTCAATAATGCCAATAAATGCTTCTATCTAATGAAAAATTTGAGGTATTTTTAGTGCTATTTATATATTTTATTTCTTCCTAAAGTACAGGAATTAGTTTCTAAATGAAAAGTCTATTTACTCCCTTGGAAAGTCTACAAAATTAAAAACTTGCTGCGATGCACCTGAAGATAGGGATTAGTAAACATGACTACTTGTCAAAGGTGGCATCAGATTTGTTTTGTTTTAGCATTAAAAACAACAGAAAGTTAGTAAATCAAAAATATTTTTAAGTTTGAATCTTTCTAGATTTGCCCATTTAATATATCAATAGAACTTCTCACAAAATATCACTTAAATCTGAATGTAATATACATACAAATCAATCGTCATTGACCAGTTATCCACATTTTAGGCATACACACAATTCAAGAGAGAATTCTACCGTTTCATTGCATATATTGTGCAAATATAGTTTTTTGGCTCCTCATTTCCTTATTTTCAGAATGTTAATGGACTTCATGATCAGACCAGAAATCCCAAAAACTTATTAGGGAGCACACTGTTTTCATGAATGATTTGCAATCAAATTTTATTCAGTTAAAATCCAAAAAGTTTTATTCCAACAGAAAGGAAAAGTTCCGAAACTGAATGTCATACGTTATTTGGAGTTCAATCCTACAAACATCTTATGGAAGGTCAGTATTGGCTCCCCACTCCTCCCTCCCTTTATTCCCTCCCCCCACTTCCCCCTCGTATTTCTTAATAAAGTGGTAATTGCAAACGCAACGCAGTAGTCTAAGTGCAAGCCATTTTCACTATTGGAGAATTCAGAAATAAATAAGCTTAATGAAGAGTTAATTATGAAAAATGTATCAACTGGAAGCAATTTTTTTTTTTTTCATTTAAAAAAGTATTTACAGTTCTTAGCTTACAAACTATATGCAACCATTTTCGTAGCTGTGAGATCATCTTTTAAATTACAAGTTCCATCTCCCACACAAAGTGAAGACAGACTAAGGGCCTGATCCAGCAACACGCATGTGAGTACGTATGCACGTGTGTGTCTGTACTCAAGTGAGAAACCAGCGGTTCCCACCGACGCCGGGTATTTGTAACTGGGAGCTCACCCTGGAAGTACAAAGCCCACTGTAAGATCAGGCCCCGTGACCTGATGCAGATGGTTCTGCACTCCTACGTGCCACCAATCTGAAGGGAGTTGCACGTAACTTTGTGCCTTTCAATCGAGTTTAGTGTAAGCACGCTTCAACGTAATTGGAAAAAAAAGGACCATTTCTAACGATGTAGGGACTATGGAAACAACAAGGCTTATTTACAAGACTTGCTGAAAGAAAAAAAAAGAAACCCCAAATACAGTATTAACCTGGAACATAGAAGTAAACATCTTATAAAGAAACAGTACAATGAAATCCAGTTCAGTGAACACATGATATTAAAAAAGACCAATTGAAAATAAATTCACTGTGCATCAATCCCTTTGATCCTATTTATATACATAGTGGAACTTTTCTTGTAAAGCAAGTTGTACCCAGTACAGAGATCTGGACCTAATACGTAAGTATTTTAACTGCTGTATTATAGTATATATTCAGATCTGGACTACAAATGGTAAACAGATCATGTTAACTTCTGATGAAGTTAAGTATTTAGAAGACCAAATTTACAGTTGCGAATGCCATGCATTCAATAAAAGATCTCCACTATAGCTGCTAAAATAAAATATCAAGCTCCTTTTTCTCCTTGGACTCCAAGAGTGAAAATGGCTTCCTGATCTGTATTTGTTAAAAATTTAAGCACCAGGGATTTAAAAATTAAAAACAAAACAAAAAACCCCGAACAAAAAAGAAAAAAGAAATAAGAAAAAAGAAATAAGAAAAAAGAAAAAGCCTTACTACATGGCATTATACAAACATAGGCCACTTTGCAAAGGAGACAGTTGCAAAACAACTTTTAAAAGTTAGCACTGTTTTCAGAACACAAGGCACAAAACAAAAGCAGACATCACGCCAGAACAATGAACTTCACATGAAAGCTAATACCTGACCTGTACCATCCTTAAATATCTTACAATGTTAAATAGAGAAATGAAAAAAAAAAAAATACAGCAGCAACATAATTGTAATTTTGACTTTAGAAACAGTGCGTAGACCCCTCCTGAGTTGTTTACTCCAACCATTTCAGAGACAGTAACTTAAAAGTTCTCAATGTTTGTTTCACAGGAAAAAGTTTTCAGTGTCTGAGAAGTTAAACCTTTGTTAGGCTTTCTTGGATTTTTGCTTGGTAACTTGAAAAGTTAGGAGTTCTGTCCTCATCCAAGAGAAGATGCTTAAGTAAGGTTGTTCTATAATTAAGCCCACTGATGTACCTTACATAAAAACTGACCAGAAAAAAATCTATAGTCTAAATCTCTTCAACATTTTGTTGGGAAGCCTCTACTTTCATCTTTTTAGAAGGTGGCACTCCTTCAGAGTCCTTAATGAGGGGGAAAAGAAAAACAACCATGTTATTGCACTGAATTTCAGGCACCATAAACATCAAACAAAAAAACATGATCAAATTCCCTGGCGCATCATTTGTAAAATACAAAGCATCCCTGGATGCAAGAATGACACGACCAAGCGCATTTGCTTCCTGAAATCACTCCTCTACTTCCATCTTACCTCAACATCTTTACACTTCTTCTCATCTACAGACAAAGGGCAAAATTCTAGTTCCGGGCTAAAGACCACGGTGAATATTCCAAGCAAAGGCATGGTTATACCCCGACTTCCCTCAGCTCCACACCTGAGCAACGAGCCACACCAAGTGCACACGAAATTTCCCCCGCTGTAGCCAAAGCAATCTCTACAGGACAGAACACGCCAGGTTTGGAAAGCACAAGGTGTGCCCCAAAACAAGCCAACCACCCACGAGGAAAACCAATGGACTGAGCAGTGCTCTGCCTGAGCATCTCGGTGTGAGGGGGACAAATGTAAGGATAATTTCCTTCTCCCACCCACCCAC